CTTTTATGTTTTATGTGATTTATATATATATATATATATATATATATATATGTGTGTGTGTATTAGGGCTGGGCAAAAAAATAGATTTTTCGATTAATCGGTTTTTAAAATGTGGCCGATTCAAAATCGATTCTCAACGGCCTCGAATCGATTTTTTCCATATAAAGGGCTCGCGGACGCGGTGCGGCGTCTTCTCGTCTCACTGCACTAGGCAAGCACTAAGCGCTGCAGCTGTCGATACACACTCGCGTTTAGGAGTCGGGACACGACGAAATATTCACTTGCACAATCGGGCCAGCATTGCATCGTAACCTATGATGGTAACTAACGTTTATAATTTTCACGTCTTTTTAAGTTTTAGTTTAAACATTCAAGCGATATTAAACCATCCCGTGCTCGCGCACTCTCAGAGATGTCTTTCACTGCGTGCACATACAGTAAAGCCAATCCGCCTCAAACAGCTCGCCTGAAACAAACGTTTTATCCCTGGATTATATCGCTTTAACAGTTAAAAACACGCGACATAATGTCAAAACTCTGGTATTGGTGAGTAACCTCGTAAAGACAGTCTAATGTCTTAAATAAGCATTAAACGCGTGTGACAGACAGACAGTACAAATGAGACAGGGATCCGTTCTTAAAGTGAACGCAGCCATATGTGTCTGTCATTAATTCTGTTGAATTAAAACAATAGAATATAGCATTAATTCTAAGCAATCAGAATTAATAGCCTTTGTATTTAATTCAGTCTTGGACTAAAAAGACTATCCAGTGTTATTTTACATTGGATTACTTTATTCAGTTTCTGTAGTATTTCTGACATACCAAAAAAACTCTTTATTCTATTCTATTTATTTGCTACTTTTTTCAGTTTAATTCGAAGATTGAAATCAAGCTTCCATGTGTTACTTAAACTCTTAACAAAAAAACAAAACAAAAAAAAAACATTTAGGTAAGATCAACGTAAAAAAAAATGTCTAAATATTTTTATTTTTATTTATCTATATCTATCTCAAACATAAAATAACATAATCCTGTTTGATCAAGCTGTGTGACTGTTCTGACTTTTTTTGCATATTGCATCAAAATCCTGTCTTTTCTTTGTCTGCATTTAGTGTATCTAAAATAAAAAGAGTTTTATATACAGGTTTGTGGCTCTTAAAAAACTTTTGCTGGTAATTTACTCACCCCCATGTCATCCAAGATGTCCATATTTTTCTTTCCTCAGTCGAAAAGAAATTAAGGTTTTTGATGAAAACATTCCAGGATTTTTCTCCATATAATGGACTTACATGGGAACCAGACGGTCCAAGGTCGAAAAGACAGTTAATAACAGTTTCAGATGCAGCAGACGATGAATAAGGGTCTTATCATGCGAAACGATCGGTTATTTCAAAACTTATTCCAAAAATGTAACTTTTCTAAGGACAAATGCTAGCCTAGCTCTATTCTGTGAGGCGCGTTTGTAACGTCACGTAATACGTAATTACGTTCAAAAGGTCACGGGCGACGTAGCCGGAAGTACAGAATCAAAATCGTCCGACATCGCTGTTTTACCTTTTAATTACTTTTTTGTAAACAGCGTTTGAGTTAGTTTGCACGTTCAACCTATGCGTTCAACTTGTAAACACTGACTCTGTACTTACGGCTACGTCGCCGTGACCTTTTGAATGTAATCCTGCTGCCGCCACAGAGTGCCATTTAGTTTTATATAAAGTTTAAATTATTTTGTTGTCTCAAATCGTTGATAATGTATACTGACTTTGCCCTATGCTGCAATAAATTTAGTTTTGCATTCATTTACATAAATCAGCTGCTTGAATGACAATTGCTGATGTAATTGGGTTTTCATGTGAGATTCTCAATTCATTCAGTTAACTGATGCTCTGAGGTAGTTTTCAGACTGCAGACTCAGCAACGATTGTATTTAATTGTACAGTACAATTATAACATAGAACAAACATCTTCATTTCATGTCATTAAACATAACAATATTGCTGGCCATACACTGATGAGAAAGTGAGTCCGGTGTGCGATACTTGGAGTTGTCCTAGACGTGGCGCAGCGCTGCGCTTCTCATTCGGTGTGCGACCCCCTTTACGGATGTGTATTTCACTGCCACTTCAATTCACTGTTCACACACACACACAAAGTCCCCACTTGGTTGGATAGATATCATTCAGAAAGTTCCCTCTTGGCTAGTGTGCAGCGACACTGCTGTGTTAATACATGTATATGTTAGTAATATAGACATGTGTGTGCAATGGCACATAACTATGGCAAGTAAATTGTTAGGGACTGCATAACAAAGCATAGAAAGTATATATGAAGAGAGAGCGTTAAATAAGAAAAATAGTATATATATATATATATATATACATAATGTATATAATAGATATATAATTTAACTGTAATGAAGACATATTTCACTGCCAGTTCACACACACAAAGTCCCCACTTGGTTGGATAGATATCGTTCAGAATGTCCCCTCTTTGCCAGTGTACAGCGACACTGCTGTTAGTAGTATAGAAATATATAGTTTTAGATCGGTAAGATTGTTTATGTTTTTAAAAGAAGTCTCTTCTGCTCACCAAGGCTGAAATTATTTGATAAAAAAAAACAGTAATATTGTGAAATATTATTACAATTTAAAACAGCGTTTTTCTATGTGAATATATATATATATATATATATATATATATATATGTATATAATAGATATATAATGTAAGCGTAATTAAGAAAGATTTCACTGCCAGTTCACACACACACAAAGTCCCCGCTTGGTTGGATAGATATCGTTCAGAATGTCCCCTCTTTGCCAGTGTACAGCGACACTGTTGTTAGTAATATAGAAATGTATAGTTTTAGATCGGTAAGATTGTTTATGTTTTTTAAGAAGTCTCTTCTGCTCACCAAGGCTGCAATTATTTGATAAAAAAAAACAGTAATATTGTGAAATATTATTACAATTTAAAACAGCGTTTTTCTATGTGAATATATATATATATATATATATATATATATATATATATATATATAATGTATATAATAGATATATAATGTAAGCGTAATTAAGAAAGATTTCACTGCCAGTTCACACACACACAAAGTCCCCACTTGGTTGGATAGATATCGTTCAGAATGTCCCCTCTTTGCCAGTGTACAGCGACACTGCTGTTAGTAATATAGAAATATATAGTTTTAGATCGGTAAGATTGTTTATGTTTTTAAAAGAAGTCTCTTCTGCTCACCAAGGCTGAAATTATTTGATAAAAAAAACAGTAATATTGTGAAATATTATTACAATTTAAAACAGCGTTTTTCTATGTGAATATATATATATATATATATATATATATATATATATATATATATAATGTATATAATAGATATATAATGTAAGCGTAATTAAGAAAGATTTCACTGCCAGTTCACACACACACAAAGTCCCCGCTTGGTTGGATAGATATCGTTCAGAATGTCCCCTCTTCGCCAGTGTGGAGCGACACTGCTGTTAGTAATATAGAAATGTATAGTTTTAGATCGGTAAGATTGTTTATGTTTTTTAAGAAGTCTCTTCTGCTCACCAAGGCTGCAATTATTTGATAAAAAAAAACAGTAATATTGTGAAATATTATTACAATTTAAAACAGCGTTTTTCTATGTGATTATATATATATATATATATATAATGTATATAATAGATATATAATGTAAGCGGAATTAAGAAAGATTTCACTGCCAGTTCACACACACACAAAGTCCCCACTTGGTTGGATAGATATCATTCAGAATGTCCCCTCTTCGCCAGTGTACAGCGACACTGCTGTGTAGCAATATAGACATGTATATATTTGAGCATTAATAATGACACACCCACACACACACACATATATGTGTATAATTATGTATAAGTTACAAAATGAAGACAAGATTTCACTGCCAGTTCACTTCACTGTTCACACAGACATACAGTTCAATTGCAGGCTATATGAGTCCCCTGTTGGTAAGGTAGACATCGGCCAGAGTTTCAGGTCCCCACTTGGCATGTTTTTTTAAAAATAAAAAAATGCATATTTAAAGTTATATTATGAAAAAAGACCTTAAAAGAGAATTTTGTACGTCATTTTTGTTTCTTCAAAATGACCAGAAACACTAGTCCCCTCTTGGCCAGTGTAGAGTGATAGTCCCCTTTTAGTAATATAGACGTGTATGTGTGTGTGTGTGTGTGTGTGTGTGTGTGTGTGTTTGGTGATATATACGCTAGAGGGCGCTGACGGCCTGTAACATTCTGTGCATCAATAATGGACACAATTAAGCGTCTGCTTAATGACCTCGTGGGGTAGGTTGTGTCAGACTCAGTACAGTTGCACTACTTGTTCACAATTTACTATATTTATTTGTTTGAGATAAATGTGACAACTTTAGCCTATATTAAATTTTGAGACACGCATAATATTTATAATGTGCTTTTATGTAGGCCTATAAGCATAATGTGTGTGTGTATAGGGTCTGAGTCATGCTGATTTTGGCCTGATATGTTTTGCATCTTTCTACTATATGCTGTTGAGTCACCACTGTAAAATCCAATTCAAAATCCAAAATTTCCTTAAATGATTGGCCTCATGCAATATTAGGAATTTTTTCTAATTGCTAATTGGAAACATCAGGAGATTTTTTCTTCAATTTAGTGAAAAATAATATTTGCAAGGCAAGTTGGTTGTGCACGTATCACACCAAGTGTCTCTAACGGCCTGTAAAAATGTTCTGAATACAACACAAACTTATTTCTTACTGTTTTATCTGGATAGAAATACTAAAGAAAAATAAAAAATAAATCTCAGTGCCTAAAAGCATCTATGATAATGCAATATCATATTTGTTAAATATAAATCATATTTAACATTTACTACACATGTAGAAAAGATCAAAATCTAACATCTGAGGCTGTAAAAAAATAACCTTTTTTATACAAATCATTTTGTGTGTAGTTTATTTTGATTCTCTTGTGTTTCAGTTTCTCCATCTGGTCATGTCAAATCCAATGACGAATCCAACCCAGCGAGGATTGAGCAATATTCTGGCATGAGTATGTTTTCTCCTCCCTTTATTTTTTTTTACTATTTATAATAGATTACACCAAGTATAGCAACACTGTGAGTTCATATTAAAAAGGATTTTTATTTTCTTTGTGAATACACTGCTTTTCAGCTGTATTGTACCCCCGCCCAGGGACTACGGTTGAAATTTTTGCTATATAAAAAAGATAAATGAATTATTAATAATAACAGCACATAAATAACTCTTTGCAATCTCTCTTCAGATGTGTTTGTTGCTGTGGCAGACGGAGTGAAGACGGTGATAGTGATGGAGGGAGATTCTGTCACTTTAAACACTAATGTCACTGAAATAAAGAGAGAAGATACGATACTGTGGATGTTTGGAGATGATAACTCTATCATAGCTAACATGAATGAAGCAACTGGCATGTTCTCTACTAAGGAAGATGAGCGATTCGGAGACAGACTGGAGCTGGACAAACAAACTGGATCTCTCACCATCAGAAACATCAGAACTGAACACACTGGACTTTATCAACTAAAGATCAAGAGCACAACTGTGACAACAAAGAGATTCAGTGTTACTGTCCGTGGTGAGTAACTCGAGTCTTAATATGTGATGATTAAAGGTGCTGTAAGCGATTTCTGAGAAACGCTGTTAAAAGTGGATCAGACCATAGGGGATGTGTCCTATCATAATGGGGGAGGAGAGAGAGGGAGATTAGCCGCCTACTAATAAAGTAGGCGATAAGAAGAGGGTTGGTGATCTAAATTTTTATTATGAGTCGCAAAAAAAATCTCCACAGGTATTGGCAGTGTCATGTAGTGACAGGTCATTACCACGTCTGGTCCACGCGGTAATATTTTGGGCAGAAAATCCAAAGTGTGGGGACATTCCAGTGTTCATGTGGAGTTTGGACGCTAAATTAGGACCGCACGTTTAACTTCGTTTCCACGTCTTCAGAGTGCAAAGGCCGGCTTCGTTGTGAGCAAGAGTTCTCCCTGACTGTTTGCGGCATCCAATAGCCACATAGATGCTAGCGGGATTACTCGTGACTCGGTCATCATATCGTCAGTGGTGGAGGAAGTACTGAATCTCAGTACTTAAGTAAAAGTACAAATAACCAGATAAATATTTACTTTAGTAAAAGTAGAATTAACACAATGACAACCATACTTAAGTAAAAAGTAAAAAGTACCTGATTTTAAATGTACTTTAAAGCACTTTTGAAAAAACTTGCTGATAATGTACTCACCCCCATGTCATCCAAGATGTCCATGTCTTTCTTTCCTCAGTCGAAAAGAAATTAAGGTTTTTGATGAAAACATTCCAGCATTTTTCTCCATATAATGGACTTCAATGGGAACCGGATGGTTCAAGGTCCAAAAGACAGTGTTAATAACAGTTTCAGATGCAGCTTCAAATGTCTTTAAACGACACCAGACGATGAATAAGGGTCTTATCATGCGAAACGATCGGTTATTTCAAAACTTATTCCAAAAATGTAACTTTTCTAAGGACAAATGCTAGCCTTGCTATATTCTCTGAGGCGCGTTTGTAACGTCACGTATTACGTAATTACGTTCAAAAGGTCACGGGCGACGTAGCCGGAAGTACAGAATCAAAATCGTCCGACATCGTTGTTTTTCCTTTTAATTCCTTTTTTTGTAAACGGTGTTAGAGTTAGTTTGCACGTTCAACCTATGCGTTCAACTTGTAAACACTGACTCTGTACTTTCGGCTACGTCGCCCGTGACCTTTTGAATGTAATTACGTAATACGTGACGTTGCAAACGCGCCTCACAGAATAGAGCAAGGCTAGCATTTGTCCTTATAAAAGTTACATTTTTGGAATAAGTTTTGAAATAACCGATCGTTTCGCATGATAAGACCCTTATTCATCGTCTGATATCGTTTAAAGACATTTGAAGCTGCATCTGAAACTGTTATTAACTGTCTTTTGGACCTTGAACCATCCGGTTCCCATTGAAGTCCATTATATGGAGAAAAATCCTAGAATGTTTTCATCAAAAACCTAAATTTCTTTTCGACTGAGGAAAGAAAGACATGGACATCTTGGATGACATGGGGGTGAGTAAATTATCAGCAAAAGTTTTTTCAAAAGTGAACTAATCCTTTAGGTATTAAAAGTAAAAGTACTTGCATAATTTATTCTCTTAATGTCTATTTTCTAATGATTAATAAAACATTTAATTCTAACTCATTCAACCTAATACTCCTATTATGATGTTCAATAATGATGGAAAAAAATTGTTGTCATAATTTCTGAAACAAGCTTGCAATTAGGCAATATACACATCATGCTTATCCTTACTATATGTTAATAACTATGTTTGGCAGTAGACGCGATTCATTTATGGTGTAATTCTGAACCTCTTGGCTTGCCATAATCCTAACCAAACGTATATTACACGCGGTGCGTTTCCTATGCACATAAAAACAAATTTTCGCGTATAAATCGCACGATAAACGCACATTTAGTGTGACCGGGTTGATATATCTATGGCAACCAAACGTCACTGGTGAGACAAACGTGCAACGATCGGATGGTCAGATTACGATTTGGCAGGGGAAAAAACTGATCAGAAAATGTAACGAAAATGTAACAGAAGTTGTAGAAATGTAGTGGAGTAGAAAGTAGAATGATTTGATTTGAGATCTTTATTTTGAACATGTAAATAATAAGTAAAAATACAATTATAAATCAATGAAACATGGAATATTAATTAAAAGAAACAAAACAAAAAAAATCCAAACTTTCCAATACTTGAAGAAAAACAAAACAAAAAAACAAAACAAAAAACAACCCTCTATTTACATGTGCAAAAAGGAGTAGGAAGAAGTAAAATAATTGCTGTAAAATGTAACGAAGTAAAAGTAAAAAGTATGCACTATTCATTCTACTTAAGTAAAGTAAAGATACGTGAAAAATGTACTTAAGTAAAGTAACAAAGTATTTGTACTTCGTTACATTCCACCACTGCATATCGTTACCAATACCAAAACAATAGACTGACAATCTTACTTGATTTCAACTTTATTTCAGCTTGACATACGCAGACATGATTCAACGAACGCAATACGGTCAACAGAAAGTTGACCAACTTCCAAACACAGAATTAAACAATCCGCCAAAGAAAATAGTAAATAAAACGGAAGTGATCACTTGTACCCTAGTGACAGTGAATATTTAATAACCAATAATACATTCAAATAATGAATGCTCCTACACTGACAATAGTGTTTCTTTCTAAGTCTGTTATTTATAATCTAGGTTACTTATTTTGTTTGCGTCCTGATCTCAGAAAAGTTAATGCGATGGATGTCATTGTCGCTGTGACAAACTTAATTTATATTTTAAATGCTCATTATTTTGGGTTAGCATTCCTCCCTTGACTAATCGACTAATGGCACACATAAGAGTTGGCTAGGAAATTTTTCTTCAAGATTTGAAGAAAAGCTCAGAGGAATATCACTGGAAAGAAGATGGGTTATGATCAGGCGGGAGCTTTAGGACCTGCGTTAATATTGGAAAAGCTTTCCAGTGCTGTAGAGACCTAAGTGGGAAGGCTTAAAAACAGACGCCATGGTTGTGTTGTTTCTGCTATATATGGGAGTAACACTGGATTTGCTGTGTTTCACACAGATGTGATGTTGTAATTTTAGCTAGTAACAGGACATTTTTGAGTGTCACTGTGTTTGGAGCAGGTGTGCTGCTGTTGACTATATACATACAGTGGTATGAATAAGTTTTGGCACCCATGCTAAAGTTGCCTAAAAAGAGGAATAAAAAATCATCTTTTGGAAATTGATCTTAATGCCCTAATTAGAAAAATGAGGAAAAGTCCAACCTTTAAGGTCACCAATTTTCTTTGTGAATGAATAATGTATCATAAATAAATAAATGTTTTTCCTTAAAATACAGGGTGCATAAGTCTGGGCACCCCTGTGTTAAATTCCCATAGAGTCAGGCAGATTTTTATTTTTAAAAGCCAGTTATTTCATGGATCCAGGATAATATGCATCCTGATAAAGTTCCCTTGGTCTTTGGAATTAAAATATCCCCACATCATCACACACCTTCCACCACACCTAGAGATTGGCATGGGGTACTTTCCATAAGATCATCTTTCAATGCAAATCAAACCAGCTATTAGGCTAACTGAAGTAAAACCATGCCAATCTCTAGGTGTGGTGGAAGGTGTGTGATGATGTGGGGATATTTTAAATCCAAAGGCCAAGGGAACTTTATCAGGATGCATATTATCCTGGATCCATGAAATAACTGGCTTTTAAAAATAAAAATCTGCCTGACTCTATGGGAATTTAACATAGGGGTGTCCTGACTTATGCACCCTGTATTTTAAGGAAAAACATTTATTTATTTATGATACATTATTCATTCACAAAGAAAATTGGTGTCCTTAAATGTTGGACTTTTCCTCAATTTTCTAATTAAGGCATTAAGATCAATATCCAAAAGATGATTTTTTTTATTCCTCTTTTTAGGCAACTTTAGCATGGGTGCCAAAACTTATTCATACCACTGTATACAGTGGGACCAAAAAGTATTTAGTCAGCCACTGATTGTGCAAGTTCTCCTACTTAGAATAATGAGAGAGATCTGTAATTTTCATCATAGGTACACTTCAACTATGAGAGACAAAATGAGAAGAAAAAAATCCAGGAAATCACATTGTAGGATTTTTAAAGAATTTATTTGTAAATTATGGTGGAAAATAAGTATTTGGTCAATAACAAAAGTTCAACTCAATACTTTGTAACATAACCTTTGTTGGCACTTTAATTGTCTGAGAACTATTTAAAAAAAGAGATTATGCTGCTAAATGATCATTTTTCACCTGTATAGATGGATTTTGAGTTTTTTTTCTGTAAAATAAATAGTTAAAATAAAATCAGCAACTAGCAAAGATATTCAGAGTACAGTGTGCTTATTCTATATATCTGACATAATGGAACTGTATAAAATGTACTATTACACCAGAAGTACATTCAAAATAAAGTTTATTTTATGACCATTTTCAATTCAGGTAATTGTGTAGATTTTCACAATACATATTTGCAAAGCAACTGCAAAAGATGAATGGGTAGACTGACAGAGTTAATGGTCTAAATTCAATTGTGTTTGTTGTACAGATGATGTGGTGTCAGTGTCATTGATGGAGGGAGATACCGTCACTCTACAGACTGGTGTGACTAAAATAGAGAAAGATGATCAGATACTGTGGAAGTTTAGAGATCGAGGCGTCCTCATTGCTGACTTAACCTGTTAACAGTCGCCCCTGCTAGTTGAGCTCAAACCCAAACCTGACATATACACACCAAACCAGTCACAGTTCATGAACCCTCTGGACTACACACATAACTGACAGCTCTTTAGAAAGATGAGAGTTGAGAGTTTGTTTCACAAGGATATGAATTAATTATTTCAGTGTTCATAAAGACTGCTTTGAGGCTTAAATATTTTGAAAAGTAATAGTAAGTGTATTTACATAAAATATATTTAGGAGTAAATAAATGAAAATGTCCCAGAACAACTTAATAAGCAATGAAGTCCAAGCCACAATTCGTTATAATTCAAATTGAAGATTCAGCCACTAAGAAATGAGCTTCCTAAGGTTTTCCTCTTGAAGAATATAACTTAATAAAAATAGTAATTTTAAATTAGCAGTAATTAATATGAGGTGAAACACAGAACATGATTGACACCAAGCATAATTTTTGAGGCTGTATGAACACTGAAACAGTCTTATTTTGTCTGAAACATTCATGTTTGGTCTGAAACATTCATTTTTGGTTTGAAAAATTCATGTTTGGTCTGAAACAAAACATTCATGTTTGGTCTGAAAGCACAGTGGCACATCAAGATAGAAACATGGCTCTTCTCATGTCAGTTCATTCTGAAGTTTGATTCATATGTTCAAATCTGAGATTCCGAACTGTTCTTTTGCCATCCACTCTACATACATTCACTGTTTGGCACTTAATATTTCCGTCTGTTGATTTATCAGATTCTTTTTAAAGAGCAATTCTTTATAGGATGTTTTGAAAGTCACATTCAGGTCTGGCTCCATTCTAATGTGGAACACTTTTACCATCGAATCAATTGTGATGTGTAAAATAATAAAGTCCTGCCCTATTTATTTATTTTTTTTCTCATTGAATATACCATTTCACTTAGTAACGCGTCAAATTACATTAAACATGGGTTGCTAAATTTGTTTCATGTTGATTTTAAGATCTTAAAAGTGATGTGTTTTCAATGTTAAAATATATTTTCCTCTCCCAATTTATTCTGCAGCATCAACTATGTGAGCCATTCATAGATTTCCATGAAAAGGGAAAACTGTGACTGTGCTGTTTTCCAAACTTTGATCTGTTTCAACCAGCTTGACAAAGCAACATTAACTCAACATATGGGTCAGGACTACCTGTTTGAGCAACCAATAGAAGATAAGGGGAGTGTTTAAAAAACACCTGTCCAATACTGTTAGCCTACTGTTTTTGCAATGATCCCAGCGGCCCATAAATTACTCAAGGAGACTTCAGTAAAAATACAAAAATTAAGGTTCCTTAGTACAAAATGATGTGCTTGAACATTTACATATGGCTGAATGAGGAATCCAAACAATCCATATATTCTCTTATTCTCTAATTATTTTTAAAATGGATTTTACGTAAAAACTTTGCACTACTAGCGTTACACTAAGTGAATAAGCTGTTGTTTTTTTAGGTCACGTTGTTAGAATGTTTTGAGTCACTGACCAATCAGCGCTGCAAAAACAACTCAGGGGCGGGGTTATTGTGTTCATAAGACTCTAACAAACATGGTTACAGCGTTTTACCACCAAAATAGCCTTGGAGTGCATAATTTCCTGGACAATGAAAAAACGTGATCCTCTCAGGAGAATGTTACGTAAACAAAGCTAATGCTTCAGAATTCGTCTGAAATTTCCAATTTTTAATCTAAAAGTCTAACCGATTTTGTCTTCCGGATAAATATAATGAACACTACACCGATGTTTTGCGTGACTGATTATATCTGTCATCGTCACTGGACCAAAACAGTCCAGAACTCCCGTTTCGGTGTTGTGTGTATTTATGCCAACTGTTGATGCTTATCAAAAAAAAAGGTTATCGAGGTTCTGAAATAATATCGGTATAATATCACGACTGTAGATTTCTAATCTTGAGCCTTTGAGCTTTCAAATGACATATTGTGAGTCTATATGAATTAATAGTTTGATAGTAATATTATTAAGTAAATGTAAACATGCAAACTTTGGAACCGTCGATGGTCTCGAGAAAGTTAATGGATTAAATGGCAGTATTGATGCAAGATGGAGAAACGTGGTGAAACTGAGTGATCATACCCGAGACCTCATCATCAGAAACATCCAAATTGAACATTCTGGAGACTATGAACTGGAGATCAACAACAGCAGCACGATCTTACACAGGAAATTCCATATTGCGGTTAGTGGTGAGTGGCTCAAACTTTTCTATAATATATCGGGGGTTTTTTTTAATGATTTTGTTGGTTTCTATAGGCCTAATTATCAAATCATCATGTTTTATGCATAGAGCTGGTAAGTCCCGCCCCTTCAGCTAACCCCGCTGGACCTCTAGGTTGAAAAATCGTCAAAACGTCAAAAGTGAATGAGAGAAAATAATTATTTTCTAATCCCGTTTGAATTTTGCAATGAATGTAACATATGTTGTCTGTGAATTTTTTTTATATAATGTTTCGTGTAAAGAATGCTACAATTTAGCGGGTAGAATTTTCATACGGTTAGACTTTGTGTGAGAGCACTTTGTGGACTACAACTCTTTTGACGTGTTTGATGTACATCACCCCCACTAGCACACGGATCCCGCTAAACATGCCTGTGTCTTTGGTGCACTTCACCGCCTTCTTTCAGGGAGAGGACAAACTAGTTGAGGTGGTGAAAACCGTGATTTGTGGAGGGAAAATGTGTTATGCGGCGACGTCACATGCGACGTGTAGTCTTTCTCGTTATGTCTATTCCACAACTGCTAGCCAAAGAATCATACAATATACTGTCAAACTCGTTACATGAGAAATTACATAAAAAATTCACAGACAACATATGTCACATTCATGGCACAATTCAAACGGGATCAGAAAATAATTATTTTCTCTCATTCACTTGCATTGACGCTTTTTCAATCTAGAGGTCCACTCGGAGTTTTACGGGTGGGCGGGACTTACCAGCTCTATAAGGTTAAGAAAAGTATTGCATAAGCTTGTATTTTTGGTCAACTATTCCTTTTTAAGCATTACAAAAAAAATGGCATGATATTCCAATGCGACACAAGGATTATTTTACGCGTCAATCACCCTCTGGAGGATGGAAAACTTTTGAGTTTGACAATGGTGACATTAGTGTCCTTTAAAATGAACACGTTTTTTGAGTTTGACAATGGTGACATTAGTGTCCTTTAAAAATT